CTGAACATCTGGTTAGAACGTCAAGTATGCGCTACCCACAAGGGCAAAGAATGAAAGAGTTCTCTGGCTGGGGTCAAGTTGCCCACACTGGTGATGGAATGCATGTCTGTCTTGGCCTCCCTCGTAGCTCAGAGCAGACATATTGCCTCAAGGATCTCTCAGACAGGCATGTCTGGTCAAACGCAGCGTGCAATTCCAAGCAGATTTAAGGGTACAGTAGGCACCTAAGATTGGTCAAAAGGCTGCTAATGGCTCCCCTGGGGGTGGTGGGAGGGAAAGAGGAAGAAGCAGAGGAGGAGGAAGAAGGAGGAAGAGGAGGAGGAAGAGGAGAAGAAGGAGGAGGAGAAAGAGAAGAAGAGAAGAAGAAGAAGAAGAAGAAGAAGAAGAAGAAGAAGAAGAAGAAGAAGAAGAAGAAGAAGAAGAAGAAGAAGATAGAAGAGAAAAAGAAATATAAAATTCTGCTCCATTGAAAACCTTCCTCCCAGTAGGAAATGTTCATGTTAGCTTTCTCCCCCACTTCCTGTACATCAGGAGTGGACCTCACTTTAAAATCCAAACTAGCTGGAGGCAGGACACAGACACTGGACACCTTAGTGTAGACTCAAGCCTTTAATTAACTACCATCAGTGACAAAAGGTCTCTATTTTGATTAAGTTTACAAAAGGGAGTCAGCCCTGGTGTTGGAATCCCTTTAAATAATTACAAACCCCAGACTTCACTCTGTTGCTGAAGCAGGCAGAGACCAGGGTAGAAGAAAAGAAACTTTGTGTGTGCAGATCCCAATTTAAAGGAAGAGGACCTCAGGGTCAGTTTCTAGGAGTATTTCAGATCAATCCCATCCTCACCTCCACTGCCTGCCTGCCGGCACTTGAAGGTGCTTTTCAGTAGACTAAAGTGGCAAAAAAGAAATCTCGTCACCGGCTGCATGGGAATAACCACATTATTAGAGGACTCCTGCTGAGGGAAGAGGGGACAACAAAATCCTACTGACCAAAGTTTCCCTGTACCTCTCTTTTTGGAGGAGCATGCTTGCCTCAGCAGTGCTGAAGTCCTAGGCCGGGCTTTTCTGTTGTTCCTTATGTGTTAATATTTCACAGCAGCTTATACTTGGGGTCACTGCTCAGTGGCCACCTGGGCTTCTCCCCTGACAATATCTGTAAATCCCACAGCTGGTTGGATTTTCCCAGGAGACACCTGAAACTGCCTATCCCCTCCCCCACTGGGCATCAGTCCCCATCCCCCATCGGGACGGATTTATGTGCTAACAGCTTCCCACTGGCATTTTCCAAATATTACCAAATGAAAAGCAAAAACAAAGAAACAAACAAAAACCTTCAAGCCCGGTGCTTCGCTCATTTATTGCTGATAATTTCATTAGGTGCCAGGAAAAGCAAAAAAAGAAAAAAAAATGCAGACACAAAACAACAACTTGACAGTAATTTTTGGCGTGAAGAAATGAAAGACTCAGCAAGCTGCAGGTGAAGGGAGTTTAAACGCTGGCATCTGGGATGGAGCAGTAAATCTGAGCTTCTGGCAGGTGACTGAATGTGAGCTTTCAGAACGAGAGCTCTTTACAGAAGCATCATTTTGTTTTAAGTAATGAGTACTGTGCTCTGTAGAAAGCCCTTCCTCCTTTCTTTCCTCTAAAGGTGTGTTTCTTTCTTTAAGTCTGATCCATCAATAGTGTTCTAGAGTTAACTGAAAATAATACACTTTCATATGGCACCATTAGGTCAGTCACTTTGCCCAAGCTCTACTATAATTAATTGATTAAATCAATTTAGCAGCAGGCCATAGCCTGTAAGAGGAACCTATTAGCCAGCCAGTCTGAGAAGGGGGTGCATAATTTAACCAACTACAATGGCAACAAAAAGCAGGGTGAGTTTCCCTAATGAAATACATCAAACAGAATTATTTCCCCTCATTTTTTCCAGTGACAACCGCATGGATCCCCTAACACAGAGTGCTTGATACATGCTTGCAAAATTTGTGCCAGATCCATTCCCACTGCAAATCTCCAAGCAAGACAGCCTTGTCCTCTTCTTGTCCTGTGAGCAGGCAAATTTTTCTAAACACTGAGGATTCAGAAAGCCCCAAGAAGCCTTCAGGGAAGACAAGTTCAAGACCAGCCACTTGGACCTTTCAGAGGCCCCAAGAAATCAGAACGGACAGTCTGGCTGGAAACAGCAAGTTCACCGCTTCTATGCACAGAGTTTGAGCAGGGACACTTCAAAGGACAGCAGGTTACAGCGTCTCTACCTTTATATTGGAGCTAAATAGTGGTGCATGCTGTGCCAGGCCACCCGTGTGGACACTGGAAAACCGTGTCTGCGTTTTATTTCTGAATGATTATAGGCCACATGGGAGGATTCGTAAGCAGAACAGAAACAAGATTTCTGACTACCTTAACTAGCTTGGTTTTGTCGTGGTTTAGTTTTACCCCAGTTCATAAAATAATAAAGCCTTCCTGACAGCCGGTAGCTTTTGGAGTCCGTACCAGCAACATAGGTGTGGTCACATAAAACATGTCCATGCTGAGAGCCTAGGAAAAACACTGATGGATATGCTAGAACCAGTGAGCAGTGTCTCTACAAGTTCCCACAGTGTCTCCCATGGATGACAGGAAAGCCACAAATGGCCTTTCCCTTGTGCATGTGTCCCACCTGCCCCAAGGCAGCTCTGGAAGGTCGCATCCAGATAGGTCTTAGCCAAAGTCAGGAATACCTGAAATGGGCAGAGGATAGACATGAGCTGGCTAGGTCCGTGGGTACCTTGAGGTTTCATGATTCAGCTCAGAAGATGCAACAGTTTGCTGGGAAGGTCTACTTTCCACGTCGGTGAAAATCATAGTGGGTTAAGCAGTCTCCTCCAGGGCCAGTTCAAAAGCCACCCTGAGCGTGAGAGTCAAGCAAAGTCTTCACCACAGCCATAGTCACAGCTCAGCCCCTGGTGCTTCTGGGAACAGTCTCCAGCAGACAGCAGATGGGGTGGAAGGCTCGGGAGGAGCAGGGTGCAAGTGTTGATTGCATGTTCAAAGACCTTCCTGGATCAAGCACAGTCTTGATAAACCATGAGTTTTGGTTGATTTGAATAAGTTAGTCTGTAACATGCGCTAATGAAAAATGTTAGTCAGCATCCAGGGATGCTCCTGAAATGGAAAATTTAATCTTTTTGTGATACCACTTGGGATGGATATTTCGTAATATGTCCATGAACCATAATACAATCTAGACTGTTGTTCCGAGAGTAAATGGAAGATAATTAAAAGGCTCCCCAAATGGCTCATGACTGAATTTCCAGACCCTTGCCTAGAAAACTGCCAGAAATAAGCCATAAGGTACACACAACGGCATGAGCAAGGAGGTAGAAAACCCAGCGGCTCAACATTTTTGTTTTTTGTCTTTCACTATTGAAATGCTTTAACCAAAGTGACTTCCAGAAAATAAGTAACTTTCCCAAGAGCACAGATATCCAGCTTTTCATCTATCAGCTTATAATATCTAATGTCACCGAGGAACTTCAAGGAATTGTCCTCCTCCTTCCCAAATTCCCCATCTGACCAAATGGCTTTCTCTTCTTTGCTCTCTCCTGTCAATCATGTTCACGGCTGAAATTTGATTTCTCTCCCACAGTAACCTTATATGAAATACCGCCAGTGGGGTCAGGACCACTGTGAACTTTGCTTTTAAAGTTCATTAACTCTTTGCTCAAAATGGATGGTTTCAATGTCACAGAACCTGCCAGGGAGCCTGGATCATCATATTTGATCGGTGACTTTCCAATCACAATTATAAAGACAAGGGCAAGAGAGGAATAAAGATCTGACAGTGCATGCAATCCCGAGACACACAAATCAACCCCACAGATGTACACCAAATTTGAAAATCTATGTAGGCAAACAATTAGAGAAAATGTTAATTTTGTAAAAGGTTAGCAAAGAAATTATAATACATATTCACAACCCAGTTATTCAAAGTGAAACTCTCATCACAGCAGCTTAGAAGTAAGTAATCAGATACTATTTTTGAATAGAGGGGAAAATGGGTTCTGTTTTTTCTTTTGTTCCTTCAATGCTCTCAAATCGCTGGATTCTTAAAGTGCCTCCTCTGCAAAGAGTAGCAATTTGACAGTGTGACTTTTACCCCCCTCAGTTTTGCGAGAAACCAAAATAAAATGTATTTCATGCAAATTTCTCAGCAAGCAAAAATTTTAATGAAAAAAAAAAAAAACTTTCTTCCATTAGCCAATGAGAGGCAACAAGACTACATAAAACTATGAGACTAAACAATTATTGGTGTGAGAGCATTGGTCTAGTTCTCCTAAAGAAGAAGATTCGTAATTAAATTCATACTGGGACACTTGTAATTGCAAACCCATTTTTAAAAGCTCAATTTCATTTTTTAGTGCATGAAAATCAGATTTCTATCCCCATTTATCTCCTCTCCTCTCCTTCTGCCTCCAGTTGAAGAGGAAAGGGTCTCAGAGCCACATTTGGGCACAGAAGGGAGCGCACACTGTGCTTTAAAGTTACACTGAATTTTTCCCAACATGAGTATGGACTGAATTACAAGCAGCTGTAAATTTGGTGTGTTTTGGAGGCCCAGGTAGAGCTGACCAAAAGCCATGGATGGTAGTTGCCCAGACTCATCTAAAATTCCTGCCGTTTGAGAAGGACTACCTTTTCCAGTGTCAACCGAGTCATGTTGGATAAGGCTGAACATCTGAGATCTACCCAGACCACATTAGTACCCAACACATATGTAATGAATTAAACACAGAAAATAAACGCATGCTGCTTCTCACACAAACTGCTCATCCCACTTCTCGGCAGCACCCGGTACCGCCATTTACGTTGCATGTCAAACCCAAATATTAAAATGACTAAACACAGGAACTTTTCACACCTAAAGAATTAGCAGCATTCCTTGCTTGCTTGCTTTTTTCCCACTCATGGCAAACTCACTGAAACAAGCACATGCGAATCAAAAATCAAGCTGTACCTCTTCGACTTCAGGCAACTGGATTTCTCACATCACTGATGTAGAGGATTCCCTTGGGTACCTGATTCAGTAAATACATTAAAATAAACAAAAGGTAATTAATAACCACGAAGAATAGTTCAAGGACAGTATGTTAAAGGCAGCTTAACTATCTATGAAAAGGACAGAACCAGACTGCAAGAAGTGTCAGGGCCACTTGTGTTTGCATGGTGGACTCAGCCCAGGGAGGCGAGAGGAGGGGCGGGTAGGGAAGGGAATGGTCTACAGTACAAGGCTGTTTCCAGTTAACAGTAGTTCTCCCATTGGGGGGCTGACGTGGCCCTAAACTTAGTGGCTGGCAGCCTGGATCAGCTTTGAAACTGTCCTCCATTCAAAGGGGGCCAAGACAGTCCAGATTCATAGCGGCGAGAGGCTGAATTACTTATGATGGACTCCTCTCAAGGATTCTCCACTGCAAGTCTTTCCAAAGCCTCACCGGTGCAGCTGTGACGGGAGGTTATTAGAGAATGTGCCCTTTCATATCCCTCCCCGGGCCTCCTTTGCTCTGGTCTGCTCTCCTGGGATGGCTGACCTGTACTGTCACTGTTCTCCTAACAAACGGAACCCTTTAGATACTACCCATCCATGTATGCACTTCTCTGTTTAAATTAGTAGGGTTACACAGAATAGAGACATGAAAATGAGGTTGCTTTCTTTTTTTTTTAAAAACAAGATTTTTTTGCTTCACTGTGAATAACGGAGTACAGTAATTCCAAGTAGTTAGCTTTCTATGGTTCAAAAAATCCTTATTATTATTAGCTGTACTAATGTAAGTGGCAAAATAATGATCATTTACTCTACAGAGCCCAATATTTTCCAGACAGCAGTTTAATAACAAACTAGACCTGTCATTTCTTCCTATAGTTAGTCACACTATACAAGTTCAGACTGTCAAAATATATTTAAAATCTAATTTGAAAAATTCAACATGGTTACAGCAAATCTGTGTACAATAACTGCAATAAAGTAGTAAGTCAATCTAATTTTTTTTCAACAAAGATGTGCACTTATTTCTCGAGCCCCCTGCATTTTTATCTGGGTTGCCTTCCAGCTGGTGTGAACAAATACTTTTCTCACTGTACGCTAATGTCTACAGGCTGCTGAAACTGAATACATAGTCTTTTACTTAAATTCTCATTCAACATAACTCTCAAATGCTTTGAATTTTCTTTGCCTAAATAGTAAGACTATGCCCAAATACTCAAATAAGCCAATTTGGACTCATGTATCTGTCAGAGCTCTCTCAAATACATTAAGTGCCTTTATTCATGTGTGTTTCTTATTAGAAATGCTTTTAAAGGTGCAAACTTCTTCACAAATTAATCTTTCAATAAATATATTTTTTCTGTACACATACAGAGATGAGAAAAGAACACGAAATGTTCTGAAATTTCAAAATCTGGAAGTGTATCAGCAAAATAAATTGTTCCCATTTGAAGTTCAAGCAGTTAATCTCTTAAAATGATAAAAACAAAAACTTTCCATTTAAGATTCTTCTTTTTTTAAAAAAATCTTTAGAAACAACAGATTCTTTTAGAAATGCAAGCAAAGAGAGTTTAAAAGCTTAAGAGATGGTGGAGAGAATATTGTTGTAATTCCTTTGGGGCGTTGCAAACATATGTTAAGCTTCAGCAAGGAGTATTTACATGAGATCATATACTGGAGAGGCATTTTTCAATTTTAGAAAAATATTACAAAGCAATAATTGGACGTAGGCTTTGTAAAATGCTAACCCCCCTTCCTTCCTGACCATATCATTGATAGGCTCTGTTATTTTTGGAGAAAAAAGAATCAGCCTCATTAAATGTAATATTTGGCATCTTGCCTGAAATCTCATCAAGTAGATGTCCTTTTGAGATCATTGGTGTCATTTTGTCCAGATGACCTCTCTCTCTCCAGCTACCTGGGGAACCCATCCAGTTTTCAAGGCGTTCACTTTCGGGGATCAGCACAGGGGTGGGGGCTCCCTGTGCACACCTGAATGGAGTCACAAAGCCTTTGTGGCTTCTCAGTTCTCAGTACCTTTGCCCAGACTTGTCACTGGGGGCGGGTGGTGAGGGCAAGGGTGTCTCACACGGGAGGGAGAGAGGAGATTTTTGAGCTGGACCTCGAAAGTGTAATCCAAGCCAGATGTCTGACAGCACAGAGCCTCTGCCACTAACCGCTGAAGTGTTTTTTAAATAGCACGCGAGTGTGCACGGCTCTCCGAGGGAGACTTTGAAAGGGTGTGATGCCTTCATAGCACTGTGAATGAACGTGCTGCACACAGACGCCAGGCCTGCGTCTCCACACTGCTCCAAGTCCCTGAAGCCTGGCCCAGGGACCACACCTGTCTCCCACATGGGCAGACTGTTCTGTGACAGCCTTTCCACCTGTGCTCCGCTCCCGTGCTCCAAAGGACACAGGAGACAGACAAATACTGCCCCTTCCTCATTTTAAATCCAAACAGTGGAGACCCCAGATTTACCTTGCAATAGCTTTCCACCTCTGCAGTGTGTTAATTAAAGGTGCGATAAAGAAATAGATAAATGTCAGAAACAATAGTTTGAATTCATTGCCCCAAAATGGAAAGACACAAATGTTATCTCCTAATAGAATCAGTCTCGTAGTAACTGTTGTGCAAATTTCCTGCCCCCTCTGGTTGTATCAAGAAGGCTTTTTTAAACTCTGTATAAAAGTGTCTCAGATGCTTACATCATTGTCTTAGTTTCAAAATATTTATCTGCACATTATAATAAATCTCTTCCCTACGAGAGAGAGAGCGTGTTCTCAAAAAAAAAAAATTATTTATGAAGCTGTACTGATACTTGTCTAAGTTAACTAGGGCCCCTAGGAGAGGGAAAGGCCCCCGAGAAAGGAATTCTTCCCGAAATGAGCAATCTGAAAGCCTGTCCTGCGGAGACAGCCCTGAGTGCCCAGGGTTTATCTCAATCTGTGTTAGGCGTGGCAGGACAGGCAGACCCTCATCCTGGAGCTGAGCGTTTGCTGGACTGGCTGGCTTTGTCTTACAATGTACATCCAACTGTACACCCTGAAGCCCAAACCCTAGCGAGAGTTCTATGATGATTTTCAAATATGTTATCTAGATTTCCTATTTCTTTTTCCTTTTTCCTTCGGATTCTTTTTAGCCCAATTCCCGCCACCCCCACCTCAAGGGTGGAGAGGATCTGGGAAATGGGCGGAAAACTTAAAACAAGTAAAAATCAAATATGTGGAAGTTGGTCCTGTTTACAGAGGTGTTGGACCACTGGCGGGTGGGTGGGGGTCTCAAAATGAGGGGCAGAGCCTTGGAGGACTGAACCCCACTCCCTCCCTCCCTGTGCCCACCTGGCAGTTTGCTGGCCGGTCAGCCAAGATAGCTCTCTTGGTAAATTTAAACTGGATTTCAGTACAGATCCAAGGCCCCTGCCTGGGCCTTGGGACCCATCTCCATCCCTGCGTGTTGGGCACGCTGCCTGCCCAGCCCCAGAGACTCTGCTGCTCCTTCCCAAGCACACCAGCCTCCTAGGGCTCCACCGCAGGGCTGAGGTTATGGGCCTAGCGCTGAGGGACTTTCTGGTGGCCTCATATGGTTCCAAACCAGGCCAGGATGCAGTCACCGTGTACCTGCCGCCAGCCAGGCGGAGGATCCCGAGAGAGGTTGAGGCGAGGCCAGCACCCAGGATTCCAGTCAGCTCCGGCCAGGGAACTTGGGCAGCAATGCCTAGGGGCACTTGGACTCTGCAAAGCAGCTGTAAAAAGAGCTGCCCAGTAAAGAGGTGGAGGTTTTGTGTGGGGTTATGCAGGAAATGAGGGCAGGCCCAGCAAGCCTCAGCGTTCTCCCTGTCGATGGCCCCTTCAGTCCAGGCTGCCAGACTCTGGGCATCAGAAGACCCAGCCCGTTAAACATTCTGGAACAGCCTTCCAGACTTCCCTCATCCCTGCCTTTGTCTATACTTCAACCCTCTGACTTAGGGATCCACGTCTTCAGCTATGGTGACTGCTTTCCAGCCTCAGGGCAAGTGGCCCCTCAAATACTCTCATGGCCCTTGCTGACCAGCCATGGGAAAAAGGAGTGCTGAAAATTATGCAGAGGACACGGGTGGGCCAGGGGTCAGGTGGGAAGGGGCTCCAGCTCTGGAGCTAAGGACCTCAGTGGTTTTAACGTTCTGTGGGGAGCTCAGGGCCTGTCAGCAGCTTATCAGTCACCCTGTAAACAGAGCCTTCCTGGTGAGTGGTGGGGACCCGGAGCTGCCCGGAGCTGCCCCCTGGTGATAGGGGTCAGGAGCCAAGGTTGGCCTCTGTGATGTTTTCCTCAGTCCCTGTGCTGTCCTCTTTCCTCTCTCCTGCTCTCTGGGTATAGTTTGGGGTCTCCTATTGTCCTGGGAGCCTCAGGCCTGCATGTCTTCTAGCACATCCCCCGGAGGAGACCCGGAACCACCTTCCACAGCCCTGCAGAAGTGGATGTGGCCACAAGGAACAGGGCAAATATTGGTTGTGAAAAGGAAATTCGCATCTGGGATTTTCAGGCCAAGATTCCTTTTTACAGCAGTCATTTTAGAGATTCTGGAAGGATCATGGTTTTGCTCCTGTGCAGCCAGGCTTCTTGGCCCTTCCTGCTCCTTAACCAAGGAAATCAAAAACCATTCTTTGGGGCCCCAGCTTAGAAACAGGGAAGCCTGGGAATCAGAATATTTAGAATGGAGAAAGTCAGAAATGAAATCCCCAGTGTGGGGACCAGAGGGAGAGGTGGAGGAGAGTGTGTGTTTGCATGTGTGTATGTATGTGTGTGCACGTGTGCATGTGTGTATGTGTGTGTGCACACGTGCAGTGAGTGCCGAGAACTATTTCCTGTTCACCCCCTTTGCCTCCAAACCTCGGCAGAGACGCTGCTCTCTTCCTGAATTAATATCACTTTCTATTCATGAGTAAAGATCAAGACAAATCTGCACAGAAAGGGGGAATGTGATTTTGTAACCCCAAGTCCTAAGTATAAGGAAAAAAAATTATTATTTAGCGAAAAAGGAAGCAAAAAATAAAAGA